GGACACCAGGCTCCCCATGTGGAATTTCTTCTTCCCAATGCCTCAGGTCTGCCCTCAGGAATTTATAATTCCAGGGAATCAACAAGAAGAGCAAGAGAGAAATGAATCCTAATTTTCTTCACTTTTTTGTCATAGTCAATCCTTGTAGCAGCCCTATGAGGTAGCTAAGTTGCAAAATTATGCAGGCTGGGCTCGAATTTAAAATCCTGTTGCCTCAGCCTCCTATAGTGCTGGGATTACAAGTCTCTACCACCAGGCCTGGTATCTAACGCCCCTCCCACACATATACCTTTTTTGAGACAGGATCTCTCTGTATTTCAGGCTGACCTCATACTCACTATGTAGCCCAGGCTAGCCTCGAACTCGTGGCAATCCTCCTACTTAAATTCTAGGATTACAGGTGTGTGTCACCATACCTGGCCATTAACAACCACTTTTTACAGATGAGAAAACTGAGCTTAGGGGGTAAATAGAATTTAGGGCTCACTCCCAAGTCTCCAAATCCCCAAATAATTAGCAACTTAGGGGCTGGGGATTTAGCTCAGCGGCATAAGCGCCTGCCTTGCAAGCAGGCAGTCGTGAGTTCGATCGCCGGTACCGATAAAAACGAAAAAGACAAAAAAAAAAAAAAATAATTAGCAACTTATATACTTAAATGCTGACAACTTAGCACTTAATTACATACTGTTTTGCAGTGTATTGTATATAACTTAATACTAATTGCCGGGTTTCAGAATGAAAAGGAGGGAGTGGGGGTGACTGTGGCAAGGGAAGGCTTCATGAAGATTTTGGGACTGAGCTGGGCTTTGGAGAATCATGCAATGGGGGCTGGAGGGGTAGGAAGGTAGACTTCTGGAAATGAGAATAGAATGTTTAAGAGATTGGGTTAGGAGTAAGCATAATAACTGCGGAGACAGGCTGAGATAGTGTTATTTCAGTAATCGAATCCTGTAAATGTCCATGTCACTAATCACTACTGAGAACTTTGTAAGCACTAGGTGCTTTGCTAAGTCCTTTCAACTCTTACTGTACCCAGTCTGTGGTTAACCTTGTCTTAAAGCTGTTTTCTGCTCCTGTAACAGAGTACCTGAGGATGGGTAATTTATAAAGAAAAGTTTCTTAGGGTTTGGGAGGTGGGAAGTCCCAGGACATAGAATACCTTCTTGCAAGGAACACTAAAACACTGTGGAAAGCAGAAAGGCAAGCAAACACCCACGAAAGAGAGACAAAACAGGAGAGCAGCCGTACTTCATAGCAACCCACTCTCATGGTAACTCATCCAGCCTCATGAGAATGAGAACTCATTTGTTCCTGCAAGAATTAGCCTAGTCTCTTGAGAGCCATGTTAAATCCCTTCCTGAAGGTGGAGCCCTAGTGACCTAAACACCCCCTACATATATTGCTCACTTAAAGGTCCCACTGCCTTTTAACACTTGCATTACCCCTATTTTACAGGTAAACTAAGTGGCAGTATTATGACTTAGAGCCAGGTCTGGCCTCCGGCTCTCATGCATTTCCTAGCTCAAGTTCAGAGAAGATGTAACTAGAGGAGATGGTGTCATGAACCACAGAGAAGAGACCTACTAGACGTCTACCTTGTTCCTCAAAGGGTTGTCCCTGGACTTTCCCTGGGAGCTAATTAGAGTTGACCCCTTGCGGCCGCCTCAGACCTACTAAGCCTGAATCTGTATCTGACTGTAGTTCCCAGCTGACCTTTGGGCACATCAAGGTTTGGGAAGTAGGAGGAGATGCATGGAGTGAGTCCAGCTGGATAACTTTGTCTTCAGCCCTTTCTGGGAACATCTCCCTCCTGGTGGGGTCGAGTAGATATTTTTCCCTGGAAACTTTGAATGAAACCTAAGACAAGAAGGTGTGGTGGCACATACTTATAATCCCAGCACTGGGGAGACTTAACTAGGAGAATCACTGTGACTTTAAGGCCAGCCTGGGCTACATAGTGAGTTCAAGGCCAGTCTGAACTACGTAAGGAGACCCTGTCTCAAAAAACAACAAAACAAAACAAAAAACCCAAGACAGCCCAGCACAAACTTAGATCCCTTTCAAGTCCATATTTCTTCTAAAAATAGCATCAAATGCTTCATTCCATACCATAATCTGTCAGCGGTCATTTTAATATTTCAAAATGGCTATGTAAATTGCCATGGAGTCGTATTCGTGTTCTGGGATGATGCATGGAATGAATTTCCTTGTATCTTAAGTGGGGTAATAATAACCACTTCAAGAGCTGCTGTGAAGATCAAAGGAGAGTAATGTACCTGGAAATGCGACATAAATTGTTCACAGAATACATGTGTTGCTATTCTACAGGGAACCAAGGCTCGCCCTCCCACCTCTGCCCTTGAGCCAGTCTCCTGAATCCTGCTTTCCTGCGGCAGCATGTCATGTGCTGTGCCCACACTCACAGGAGGAAGGGCTTTGGCCTAGAGGTATCTCAGGAAGCCAGAGAAATAGGAGACAGCTATAGCTATTGCTAGTTGTATTTTAAAAATTTTTTTTATAATTTCATATCATCACCCTTTCTTATTATTGCTCATGTCCAGACTGGCCAAAATAGCCAGCAAAGAGCTCCAGTAAAACTCAAAGATTTCAGGGGCTGAGGAATAAAACTCAGTGATAGACTTGTCTACTGTGTAAGGACCTGGGTTCCATTCCCAGCACTGCCAAAACAATAGAGAGACACTGACCATCTTCATATGAGAGAAAAGGGAGAAGGACAGCCAGAGAAGGCACAGGCAGGAAGGGGCTCAGTACCGCAGAACCCAGGAAGAACACATAGGGAGGGGTGGAAGGTCAGCAGTTCTCCAGGACCTGAGCAACTGACAAGAATGGACAGTGGAAAAGCAATTATACAGATGCCCCTTGACTTAAGATGGACCCGCATCTCATTATACCCATCTTCAGCTGAAAACATGATAAGGTGAAAATCCATTTAATACACCTAATCTACCATGCCCAAGGCAGCCTCACCTCCCGTAAGCTTGCTCAGAACTCTTGCATTACCCTGTAGGTGGACAAAATCATCTAACACAAGGCTTATTTTATAATAAAGTGTTGAATAATTCATGGAACTCACTGAATATTGAACTGGAAGTGAAAAACAATGGTTGTATCATCAAGCCAGACACCATAACTTGAGAGCCATTTGTGTTTGGTTAAAGTGGTCCTGGACCATCCTCCTGTTGGATTCTAGTAGAATAATGGTTAAAACCAGATATGGGGAAATTAAGAAAAGAACTGTGGAGATTCTTTTCTTTTTCTTTTCTTTCTTGTTTTCCTCTGCATGATGATTCTTAGGATTTCCTTATCAATTGCCTTTTCTGTTGAATAAGTCCGTATTGCCATTTGAAATGATCTCTGGGATTTGCTATAACTCTTCACCAGTATTGAGTTGATAATGTATCTTTAAACCATTCTTTGGCAAAAAGTTGTTTAAGAAATAGAAGATTACAAAGCATCATTTACAGTATGATCCTGTTTTGTTAAAAAAAACAAGTGCATATGCGTGTGTAGCTTTGTGTCTGTATATATTGTGAACATGGGAACACATCCAATGGACTTTTCTCAGAGAAGTTTTATTGGTATATGCATGCCAGTTTGAATATGTGTAGTTTAATTGTCTTACCATTAAGCTGTTATAAATTGTAAAAGGGATTGTCTCTAAGGGTATGTTCCTTGGAATTTTTTTGGCTGTAGAGGACAGAACCTCAGCTGAAACTTCTGAAGCAACAAATGAATTTTCCACAGACTTCTTCAGGCATGAATGGATCGAAATTCAATGATGTCATTAGGAATCTGTCTCCTTCTCTCCATCTCTCTCCTTCTCTCTCTTTCTATACTGGAAATTGAACCAGGGAACCCTGAACTATACACTATTTTACTTTTAAGACAAGATCTTGCAAAGTTATCGAGGCTGCCCTCAAACTTAAGATCTCCTGTCTCTGCCTCTTGACTCTCTGGGATTACAAATGTACATTACTGCACCTGGCTCTGCTGTCTTTTTAATGGCTTCATTCTTAAGCAGGTCCAGCCTGTGTCTCAACTGCTCAGCACCCTAGAGAAAAGACAGCAACTTTTTTCCCAGAGTATCAACAAAATCCCAGGGCTGACATGTCATGATCACCTCTAAACCAGGTACTTATGGTGGCAGAGGGTGATCCAACAGGAGTCCACAGAAGCATTCAAGGGCAACCTAAGGAAGCCACTGAACTGAAGGAGCAGCTGAATGGTTTCTGGACAGAATGCAGAGGGTTGTCGCATGAAAAAGGGGCACAGAGTCACCTATGGCAACTCAAAGGGACTTCTCTCTCAGGACCTTGTACATCCGCAGTGATTGCATTGTTTATAAGTACACATTCCTCTTGTAATGGCAGGGACAACATGAGATCCGTTTTGATACAGCTGATTTGAGTTGCATCTGGTTATGACAGTTGAAATAACCACATAATGAGTGTTAAGAAAATAGATCTTTCTGGGCATGGTGGCATATGCCTGTAATCCCAGCAAGTGGGTTTTGAGACAAAAGGATCACAAGTTTGAGCATAGACTACATTACAAGTTCCATATTAGTCTGGGTTATAGGAAGGTCCTTTCAAAATCAAAACAACTGTAAGACAAACAACAACAAACAAATACAGAGAGAAAGAGAGACAGAGAGAGAGAGAGAGATCTTAAAGGCTCAAGTCTTGTCTGAGCTCTGAATTCCATAGGACATAGGAAGGGTGAACAGCAGCACAGCATCGAGGCTGGAAAACTGAACTTTTGTAGATTGTTAAAGTCATTGTGTGTAAAGCCCACTGGCCCATCAGGCAGCCTCTGGGGCTCCGGGTTGCCAGAGTGATGCATCCAGGGAACTGGGCCCTTGCCAAGGCTGGCCTCTGCCTCTCAGCCTCTGGTGTGTGGCGCTGGTGTGTGTGGCACCTGGCTCTCAGTGAAGGCGTTTCTGCATTCCGCTATCACACCACTCTGTTTCTTCATTTCAGGGTTACACTAAGGACATGGTGACAGACTTTGATGAGAAACATGATGAGTATTTAATATTGCTTCAGCAGAGGAACCGGTAAGATGAAGCCGTCCAACGGCAGCCTTTGTTATTAGCCAAATAAAAATCTAGATTTATTAGCAACAAGCAGGCCCTGTTTGCATGGAAATAGGAAATAGGATGTGAAGGTCCCTCAACTCAGAGGCCTGGAATATTACCTGAAACCCCAGCTCTTGTTTCTCCACTCCCTGCTTTAATTGCATCTTTTGATTGAGCTGTAGCAGACTCTTCTATGCGGCAGTGCTGGTTCTGGGATTCTGTTCTGGGAGAAAGTGGGATTTTCAGAAGGAGGAATTTAGGAGGGCCTATGTAAGTCACCTAGATAGCCCAATTTGCAATTTTACCAGCTTCGACAGTCCCTTGAGCCTGTATGTTGTGTTATATGAAGTTGGAGTTATTTTACATTTGTGTTTGAAGTTGGAGTGTGTGTTGTTTAAAGTTAAATTAGGGCTGATTTTAAGTTAGTATCTGTTGTTAAAAAAAAAAAAAAAAAAACAGGAGGAGGTGCAGGGTTTAGTGATCAAGGTCAAAGCAGTCTGGTATGGTTTGAAAGAAGTGAGGCCTTAGTTCCTCTACAGGGCTGAGAAGGTTCATTCTACTTCACTGTGATTTGTCTTGAGGCCTTAAACCTGAGCTGAGTTTGCAAACTCAAAGCCTAAGAGGGGCCATGCAGTGAGTGATGGTGACACTGCAGGGACCGGGTGCAACCTGAAACTCTGCTAGTCACACTGCTCAGCTCAGACCACCTTTTGTGGGAACGCAGGCCCCTAGGGTCTACCTCCTCTGAATTTGCCAGAGAGGCTGGAAATCTGGATATGTGTTGTAAAATCTCCAGAGCTTTAAAATGTTGGTAATGAATTCCAGTTAAAGAACAAGCCAAACAGGAGAACAGTGCAGACTCACAAAGCAGATATGATAGGGAGGAGGAAGAGAAGGCCGGCAGTAATTTGAACCTTTGTGCTATGGAAGTGGGCTTGTGGTATTGCAGAAGAGAGTCCTGGTGGACATCGTCCTGAATGTGGATTGAGTCCTCATCTGACTGGCTGGTCTGTGAAGTCAGCCAGTAGGGGCCGTGGTGGCACTATGTGTGGGACATGATTTTGTGGTACAGATGGTCCTGTGCATTGTAGTTTAGCACCCCTTCCCACTGGCCCATTACAGAATTCTGTCCATGAAGATCCCCCCACATATCCATGACAACAATACCTGCCCACATTTCCACACACCACTCTGGCCAGAGGACTATTGAGTAGCCTCTGCAGGACCAGCCTAAGGACCAAGCAGTGTTGTCTGCGCCCTGCTGCTCAGTGCTTTTCTCCCTGCATCCCAGGGGCAGCCTTAAGCCAAGCCCAGCAAGCGTGTGCTGAGAGGACCATGGTGGGTTTTTATCATCATCGCTGCCACAGAGCAGGATGTTTTCATTCCATTTCTGGCAGGCTAGAAGGTGCCACTGAACACCTGGGTGATGGTTTAATCACCTCCATGTGACTTGTCAGGGGAGAGAGTGTTGTACTTCCTTATGAGCAGCCTGTTTCTCATTAATCGGGGGATCAATAAGTGCATAGTCAAAGAGGTACTGGCTGATAGCATATGTGAGAATTTCCAGAGACAAGGTTGCAGCACACAGACAATTAAAAATATATCAGAACTGAGTTGCTGGCCCAGGGATGTAGCTCAATGGCAAATGCTTGCCTGGCAAGCACAAGGTCCTGAGTTCAATTCCTGGTACAAAACAAAACAAAACCAGTATTGCGTTAAAATTGGAGGGGACCATGTTGTTACTGAGAGAGATGCCTGAACGCTGGAAATTAGAAAGTAGAGTAGGAAAGAGGCCCCTTTTCAGGGAAACTGCAGAGTTTGCAGAGCCATGGCCAGTTGAACCTTAGCTACCATTTTACTGTTGTCTGCACACTACACAGCCAAGCAGATAGAGTGACTGTATCCATTCTACAGATGAGGAAGTGAACACAGAGGAGTGACCAGCATGCCTAGGGTGTGTCGTATCAAGAAGCAGCAGAGCCGGGTTGTACTTTATGTTTTGTTTGATGTTTTCATGGATAAGCAAAGTGAGAGGAGCCTGCCAAGGCTGCCAATGGCCCTACATTTACTAAGGTGGAATTTTGCGGATCTAAACTATAATTTTCTTGGAAGCTTAGTTATATAACCAGGTAGAAAACCAGTCTGTGAGCATTAATACCAGGCCTCATGGATGGTGGCAGTCCAGGCAGCTTAGCCCAGTTGCCTGTAACCTGAGAAGAGAATGTGCAATCATCAGGGGGTTCTTCACAGAGATCTGTCTGAGCACAGCTGCCCCAAAATGCTGGGCGACACTATTCTTCTATTCATCCAGTAGGAGTTCACTTTCAGGTGCCTGGCATTATACTCATACAAAAGAAAATAGTGTGATGAGGAAAATAGACTAAATTAGTGCCTAGTTCTTTGGTTGTAAGGGACAAAACCCCGAGGTTAAGTAGACTCGTGTAACTAGGAAGCTTATTCACTCATGAAATTAAGACATCCAGCATGATAACTTTAGGCATAGCTGAAACCAGGAGCTTAAATTGTATCCCCAGTGCCATTCTTATTCTGTCTCTATTTCTTTTTTCCCATGCAGGAGTCATTCTCAGGTGGTTACTTCCCTCATAGTGGCCAAGACAGCCAGTGGAAACCCTATTTACATCATGCTCAAAGCAAGAGAGAATTTCTTTCCCAGTAGTGTATGTGGTATGGGCTCCCATTGGCCTGGCTTAAGATCTGTTCCCATCTGGAACCAGTCACTCCCCACGTATGATGGGAGCCATAGCCTCAGCCACACACCTAGACTGTGCAGTAGAGTCAGTCCCAGCCTAGTCCCCACCTAGAGAAGGTGTGCTGTTCTCTAAGGAAACCTGAGGAGCTATTGCAGGTGGGGAGAGTGGCTGGATAGGATAAAGGACAGGTATCCATCACACAATCCTTGGCCTTGAGGAGCTCTTTAGATGTGCCAAAAGGAGCAGAACTCAGTCCTGTGCTCCAGGAGGGGACAAAGACAGGGAGGACACATCCCTGCTTCTCCCTGTGCAGAGCCTCCCTGCACCTCATGCCTCTAGACTCTCAGCCATTCTGGTCACTCAGCCTCACACACAGTGTAATCACACCCAACAAGACTGGTGAATAAGCCAGCAGGATGATCAAACGGCCGAGTGATGGGGACCGACTGCAGAGATTGGGCCTTGTGTCTGTGGAGCTCATGCGGAGAGGGGCTGCAGCAGCCCCCCACAGAGGGAGAGCACAGCATGTACAGCAGATGCAACAGTCCAGCAATAACATTGTCATTTGGTCCTTGAGAAAGGTCATTTGATGGAAATGTACAAGAAAACAGGCATGTAAGCAGGTGGAGTCACCCCAGCCCCTCAAAAAGAGATTCAGGCAAAGAGGAGGAAGGCAAGGATCAGCATTTTTTGGGGGCCTTGCCTGGGCCTATGTTGTAGCTGGTGCTTTCACTGGGGCTTTTTGTCCCCATGGTAGCCAGTGCAGATGCAGGCATTCTTTCTGTCTTTCCAGGGGTGAGGGGCCTGTCTTTCCAGGAGTGAGGGACCTGCCTGAGGTTACACGCTGAGGAAATGGCATAGCCCCCAGCACTGAACTCCATCCCTCTGCAATACTACCTTGGCTCACACAGGTTCACCTCGTAAGGGACAGTGTAAAGGACACCTGCCAGACCCTGCAGCCTGCCCAGGGTCAGGGCAGGATGGCGGTGTTTTGTGCTTAATCCTCCCCTAACCCTGCAGAGCAGGCTCTGATGTGATACCACTGCCTCTCAGAAGCCGCAGCTGGGAGCTCCAGCTCCCTCTGAGTTCCACTGGTTTAGAGCCTCTGGCACAGGCACCTGGGGAAACTGCAAGGGGACAGGCAGAGCACAGGCCCAGCGGAATCCCCAGCCAGGCTGTTTCTTGGTGCTCTAGTTGTGGGCAGGTTTGTCTATAGTACAGGCCAAAAGGAGGCTTAAACCCCACAGCCAACCGGAAGTGCAGTGAGACAAGGTACTTGAAAGTGCGTAGCAAGCCTACAGTCTATCTCATCAGTGCTCACCATCCTCTGGCTCCTGTGTGTGTGTGTATCTGTGTGTCTGTGTGTGTCTTTGTATCACTAGGGACTGAGTCCTGGGCCTTCACACTGACCTACAGCCACAGACCTTTTATTTCTTATTTTGAAACAAGGTCTCACTGAGTGGCCTAGGCTGGCCTTGAACTCTAGACCCTCCTGCCTCCGCCTTTCAGAGTAGTGAGATTACAAGCATGTGCTGCCACACCCAGCTGCCCCAGGTCATCTTCATGCCACTGTCCCTCAGTCAGCAAATATATCTGCTCTTTGTGCTCATTTGCTTCTAATCACCCTTGGGTCCCTGCTCTGGTGGCCCATGAGGAAGGAAGAATGCACCCCAAGCAGCCCAGTCCCTGCTGTGCCAGGCCCTAGCTACACCCTTTGGGACACTGTGTGCCTCTACTTCAGCTGTGTGAGTGCAAGGGCTGGCTGAGCCAGAGGTCACCATGCAAGTGAAATGGCTGGGACATGCTTTGGATAGCTGTGAACCTTAAATGCTTCTCGGAATCCCCTGCCAGACCCTGAGGTCCTTGGGGTCTCTTGTTTAGGAAGCAGGTACTGAGCACCTCCTCCTCGTTGGTCACACGAGGCAGACATTGCAGCCAGCCTGACAGGTGCTTGAGCCTAGGTTCTGGTGAAGCAGGAAGAAGAAACAGATACCAGGCAGATCCATAATTCAGCATCACTAGTGATCTGTGTCATGAACAGAAGAAAAGAGGTAGGAGAATAGAGGCTGGTGGGGCATGAGGTGGGTACAGGCTCAATTTCAGACAGGGTGGGAGCTAAATCTGATTTATCTGGATCCTCTACCCCAAGGACAGCTTTTTATGCAAAGCAGGCTATCAATTTTTTTAAAAAGTCTATTTCTCTGTTGCCACCTGAATGTTACTGATGTGCTCAGGGGAGTTCCTTTAGCAATTCCTTTCACAGTCTGAATAATTATCTCCTAATTTATCAGTTTCATAAATCCACATTTTCATAAATCATCCTGCTTAAGTAGAGGCACATGTGCAGTGCTGGCCCCAGATCCCAGGTAACAGGATGCCGTACCAAGGCGCAGAAGGCAGGGAAGCCCTGGGAGAGAGAGAAACTGAGGCACCAAGCTCTGTCTTGCTGTGCACATTCCCTTCCTGCCCCATGCTACTCTTCACAGAGACGCTGATACCCAAGTGTCCCTTGATGATTCGCTCCCACAAGCACAGCGCTTGCCGTGTTTGGAAGTTGTCTCTTAGATACTTGTGTTTTCCTTCTGTTTTTATGTTGTTGCCCAACAATCAGGCATCTCCCAGGCTTCCAAGGCTGGCAAGAGATAAGCAGTCTGTAATAAATGTTCCTGCCATGATTGTTGAAAAGATGGATGTGTCAGCTGCTAAAGAAACATTTAAAAAGTAAACAAAGAAATTGCCTGTGGCTGCTACCACCTTACCTCAACAACTGATTTCATTTTTACATTTATCAACGTCCATTCTAGGTTGCAGATATGCTCACCACATCTTTGCTTTAAAATCTATGTACTGTTCCCATTCTGCTCTTTTCCACTGCTCCCAGCAGGTACCAATTGCCCCTGCCCCCGTATCCCTGTAGAGTCCAAATATCCATTCCTGCTGCAGAACATCCCAGCGTCTCCTTCCCTGGTGGTGGACACTTGGGTAGCTTTCTGGGTTTTTTTAATGTCTGAAAGCTGACCATCTTCTTGCCCACAGTTTTTGCTTAGGAATGTTTTGCTAGAATGAGCTTACTAGGCAGAAGCCAAATATAGGGCATCTTCTCTGTTTCCCTGTTTTCTCCAAAAAGGTTCTGTGAGTTACCAGCAGCTCTGTCATCCGTTCACTAGCTTTAGTCTTTGTTTTGGTGGGGAGTCTGAAGCCAAATTGCCCACATTTTCTTCCTAGTCCTGCCACATACTAACCTTGGTCAAGCTACTTACCCTCTCCATGCCTCAATTTCTTCATCTATTAAAGGAGGGTAATAATACCCATAGAACTGTTGTGAAGTTTAGTGTCTCACTGTAGTTTATCCTCATGATTCTCAGGCTTCATATTAGTGTATTTGCCTGCTCACCACAGTGTATTTGAACCCTGAAGTCAGTCCTTGCTGCACTTTTGCAGTCACTTATAGACACGTGCAGAGCATCCAAAAAACCTCTAGTCGCTTGACACACATGTCCTGGCAGAGGCAGGACAGGACAACGCTCAGCCTACTTGGTTCAGTTCTCTTACTGGTACGAGGGCCTTCATTGCTGTTTGCTCAGCACTGAAGCTTTGTGCTTTTGTTGGTGCTTTCTCTGGGTAAACTGACCTCCAGGCATGGTGCTGAAAGGCTGTATTGAGCTCCTAGCACAAAAAGGCTGTGCTGTGTCTCCTGAAGAAAATACAAGATCTGATCAGGGAACAGTGTGTGTGTTTAAATTAAAAAATATTATTACAGTAAAATATACATTGCTATTAATCTCCCTCAATTATACACCCTCCTCTCTTTGCACATACTTCTCTCATTGTTTTTGCCACTTTCTGAAACAATTCTGGAAGTCCTCTGTCATGAGTGTCTTTACGAGGTGCAATCAAAAACATAGTGACTGCTGCTGCCAAGCTGCTGCCATCTGTCAGAAAGAGAGGCTCATTAAAAACGTTATGGCATGTCCTCATCCACCTTAACCACTGAATCTGGTACCGTGCAACTTCTGGGTCTTCCCTAAGTCAAAATGACCATGAAAAGTAAATGTTTTCAATCGGTTCAGGACTTTGAGGCAGCTAAGCCAGTGCAACTAAAGATAAGAATGAGGACTTCCAGACAGAACTGCTGCAGAAAGCGACCAGAACAATGTGTGTTCAGAGTGTGTGTGGGGAGGGAGTAGTTTGATGGAGACTAATGGCAATGTGTCTTTTATTGCAATAGGTTTTAAAAAATTAACTAAAATGTACTGCAGTTTTTGATCATCCTCATAGGTATGTCAGGCAAACTTTGTTCGGGCCCTAGTTTCCAATGGTATGACTGTGAGTCAACTGTTATTGGGTGTCTTTAATCAAACACACATAGAACAAGGTGATATGTTGATTGATTGGTGAAAATGTGATCAGAGACTCACAAGAACATAATCCTATCTTTTCCCTGGGAGCAGTAGTTTAATATTCACTAATTCAATGCTCACAGCAACATCCTGAAACATAACAACCTCAGATAACGAAAATCAGCTGTATGTATATGTTTAGAATAGAGTTTGCAAGATGATTATTTTTAAAAATGGAAATTCTGCTAACATGGTGGGCACTTCCTTAATTACTAAGAGGATGCCCACTTGCCATGCTGGCTGGTTTTCTATATAAATCTGGTTGACATGGGGGTGCTTGAAGGTGGCAGCAAATTCTGGGGAGCTTAGTGGCGCATGGCAGTGGGGCTGTGGTGGGCTGACAAAAGTCACTTCTCACCTAGGGAGCCTTGTAGTAGCAAGAGGGCATGAGAACCAAGCAGAAAAAATGAGCCTGGGCCACTGCTAAGCTAGCCTGGAGGTCTGGACACCATGCTTGTGCCCAAGGGGTTGACAGTCACATCATCAGTCTCAAACAAATCCGTCACTGGATATGTTTTTCAACTTCATTGGAATATGAAATATGGCATGCAGGAATACCACGAGTGAGTATTTGAGAATACATTTATTCTCCAAAGTGAAGAGATTAGTCTGCTTAGCCTGCTGGGGACCGTTCCTGATTTGTGGATGTGGTATGTGAAATCCCTTCTACAAAGCCTTAGACCCTAAGCCACCTTTTGTTACACATCAAAATATCACTGTTCACACAAAGTAAAATGGCGTAAAATTGAAACTGCCTCAGAAAATCCAGGTCATACGGTCGCAGCACGGTGCACACCCCTCTTTTCAGCCTTGGCCACCACCAGGCAGGGACTGCAAGTGTTCATTTTGACTAATGTGCCTTTGAGCCTCAGCATAGTGGCAGAAACTTCCCCACAGGGCCCCAAACTATCTCCCCGTCACGGTTTCTCCATGTGTGTAATGGGCCTCTTAGAGGCCATTTGTAGACTAACGGCTGGACCCACGCCACCTGGCCTCTTATTAAAGCTGCCTCACGCGTTGTCATTCCAAAAGCAGTTCACTTCTGGCGTGGGGGTGGTAGCAGCTCAGATGCCCACATGAACATTTCACTTCCAGGATATTGAAACATTTGAAAGCAAAGGACCCTGTGCAATTGCGCCTGGAGCACCTGGAGCAGGGCTTCTCTGTCTACGTCAATGGGGCCAACTCGGAGCTGAAGACGTCGCCTCGGAAAACCGTGCACACAGACTTCTCCAGAAGCACCTCACAGGCCGAGGGGATGCATGGTGAGCGCTGGTCCTCGTAGGCCAGGCAGCAGCTCTCTTCCTTAAAAACTGGGGAGCTAGGGGGTATAGCTTGGTGGCACAGCACTTGCCTGCCAGTAGCGTGCCCAAGGCCCTGGGTTCCATCCCCAGCACTACAAAAGAAGAAAGAAAATTAGGAATTCTGGAACCATACCCTGTGCATGTGAACTTATCAGCAGGTAACTCGTTAATGTAACAAGTGAACTGTATCCACTTAACCAGAAGGAGATTATCAGAGCAAGAAAGTAGAGGCTTTTTGGTAGCACTGGGGAGAAAACTCGGGGCCTCACATGCCAAGTGTGTGCTCTACCACTGAACCACACTGCTAGCCCAGGAAATTCCTCTTTTCAGATTGGGTTTTGCCTCTACTACCAAGTGCAAAGGCAGACTGAGCAATACATTACTTACTCTTATGTTTTCTGGGGCTCAAGTGTCAGTAATTTAAAGACATGTCTAGGGCACCTTTGATTATACCTAATTTTCACTTGGTATCTCTTAGCTTTATTACCTATCTCTTGTGTAATGTTTGATTATACCATTTGTTTCTGCATTTCATCCATCTGTACTGTGCACACCCTAAGTGGGTTTTGTATGCCCTAAAAGGAGGACATGGGACACCTGTGAGTGTAATGGAAGAGGTCCCTACTCATGTCTGGCCCAGAGGCACCAAAAATGACTTGGTACCAAATGAATGGGACGGCAGAGCCCAGGGAGTCTGGTCCCAATTTGGTGATGTTGCTGTGAGGAAGCTGCTTTGCCCTTCTGTGCCTCTGTTGTCTCATCTTTAAAACAGAAAGAACAAGGTTGCCTGTCCCCAGCATGTCAGAGGGCCCTTCATGGCAGACTATTTTCTCTGAGAGGCCAAAACATGCTACTGAGTTGTAAGAAGATTTGGAATGAGACAGCTAGGTTTGAATAAGTTCTGCCTGATACTTTCTAAGATCACAAGTAGTTTGGAAGCTCTTCGGGCCCTCAGTTTCCTCTTCTGTGAAGTGGGAATAATTAAGACTAACTTGCACCTAGCCAGCAAGATTTAAGTGATGTATGAAGTGAAAAGTGCCTGGCACACACACAGTAACCTTGATTTGTGTTATTCTGATTCATTGCTTCATACATATGGTAAGCACCTAAGCCATTAATACACAGGAAAAGTCAGAACAACAGCAGCAGAAGAGTAAAGGAGAAAATGATGTCCCAAAAATGTTGCCTTGGGAGAGCCACTCCAGGGCAAGGAAAGAAACCAGGGGTCTCCTAGCTTTCATGGTGTGAGTCAGGGCATGCTGCTGATGAGGAGAATCAGGAGACGCACTTGGAGTCTTAGGAGCATAGTCATTCATTCAACAAATACATGTACCCTCCCCTCTTCTCTACAGATGGTCACCTACTGCACGAGCTGCCCTATGCCTGCTTCTTCATCTCTGTGCATAGAGCTCAGACTGACTTGCTGTACATCTGTTTTGTAGCCTGGATATGCTGATTTACCTGTTCTTTTTTTGCTGGGCTTTTGGCTTATGGTTTTTTTTTTTTTTTTAATGTTTTGCTGCTAAGGACAGTGCTGCTGTGATTGCCATCACAGACGAGACTTTGGACATACTGACATGTACTTTAGACGGTTTCAGGACAACCCGTCAGTGTGATCTTGTTATTACTGTCTCCTTCCTCGTCTCTGGTGCAGATTATGGACAAAGAACCCTGCTTCGAGAAGCAGAAGAAGCTTTAAGATGCAGCTCCCGGACCACACCCAGCAAAGTTCAGCGCCGAGGATGGCACCAGGTCTGGAAACCCAGGGTACAAGAAAAACTGTGCCCCTGGATCACACTTTAGGATGAGGCTGATGTGGGAACAGAAATATAATTAGGCATTTCAAACCTCCCGACATCAGATAGGTGTCCTGAGCACTGTAGTGGTGCCTTTTCTGTGTAGGTATCTGATTTTGAGGGGTTCCTCTTCTGCTACCTGGTTCTCCCTTCTGCAGGAAGGGCCAATTATAGCTCCTTATTATATGCTGGGTCTGGTCTCAGAGCCAGGGGTGCAGCAGGTGAAGAAGACAAAGCCCCTCCCTGTGATGCTGAGGTGACAGTGTGGGTTGATACAGATGCTGTGTGGGCAGCGGCCTGCATTTTTCAGTACCCAGCGGGGTAGCAGGCAAGGTCTGAATTTCCACATGACTCCCTTACCCTCACTAGAGCCCTAGAGGGTAGGGTCTGACATCATTCTTTTTAGGGAGCAGAGAAGACAGATATGCAGAAAAGCTTAGTGAACTTTTCAGTGTCAGCAGCTTCTGAGAATTAACAGAATCAAGACTCAGACCCACAGCTTTTGCCCTAAGTTTCATGTTCTTGTTCCTATAGTACCTGAGGTCTTGTCTGGCAGTCACTTACCCTTTGCATAGGACCAGGAGCCCTACTTGGCCCCAGTTGCACATCTGCACATCCCAGTTGCCTGAGAAGTTTTTAAAATACGAATGCGTAGGCTCCTCCCCTTGGAGATGCTGGCCTGATGAGGACTAGCAGTAGGATTTAATATTGTCAGTGGGCTGTGTTCAACTCGGACCAAATCAAGCCAGAGTACACAGTGAACCTTAGGTCTGTACCACTGTGCCACTGGAGAAGCTGAGGCCCACAGAGATAAGGTCACTTGCTGCAAGTCACGTGGCTGTTGAGAGAAGAGAGGAGGCTGAAATTTTAAGGCTGGGCCTGTGGGGAGTCTGGAGGGGCATCTTCCAGTCTGTGATTCAGCAGGGAAGGTTATCCTGCTAGCTCAGTGCTGAAGAGCAGCCCCAGAGGGCAGGTGGCCTGGAGACTTCTTTTGTCCCCAGCAATGAATGTTAATTTCTCATTAATGAGGCTGTTTTCCACTTCCCTCTCAAGATGGTTCTTCTGGTTGTTTTGAGTGCTTTCTATTATCAGGAGCCATATTTGTATCTTAGACTGTGACTTAATGGCTGGCCCCAGAGTCTGTGCAATTTAAAAGACTTGGCCTAAGATTAATTAGTATCCCTCCCTGGTCTCTCCTGTGGTTCTGCACTTCGCAAGGCCCAATCATGTCTGATTTCCTGGCTTCCTGAGACCAGGAGGTTGTAATTGGCCTTCTGTTCTGTATCAGTAAGGGGTCAGTCAGTGCTAACAGTAGAGACCACTGGGCTATTTTAAGAAAAAGTGTGGCAGTGCTGGGAGATGATGCTGACTCGGCCATGGGCTGCCCTGATGAGTGGGCTTAGAGCTGGGCCTATAGGAAGCATGCCCGGGAGAAAGAGTGGCCTGCTTTGGCTTGCGAGAGGAGCTGTATGCTAGGACACAAGCAGGATGGTGGCAGTCAGCCTCAGAAACACATGACCAGAGCTGGGAGCCAGGACACAGGGAGCTAGACACCACCTTCTAGAGCCACACAGTAAAGAAAAGCCTTATCCTCCACCCTGGCCAGTGTGGGACTCTGTCACCTCCACTACTGTGCTCAGTGTAAAAACAGCATCTGTCCCTTTCCTCTCCTCCATATACTTCTGCTTTCCTATCCTGGGTGAGGCTGTCTGATTAGCTGAACCCCAATTGCATCCAGAAACAGAAAGCAATCAGGAATCACAGTATTTGGTCTGGCAAACAGGTGCCTGTGGACAGCAGAGGTGCCAACTCCCCACCACTGTTTGGATTCTCTCTACCCGCACCTGGTACTACAGGGCCCATGCCTCAGAGACCCAGAGCTCTCGGGCAGGGTGAGGGGGCCAGGCATGGCATGAAGCAGGCGTCCATTGGAGGAAGAGACATTTAGTGACACTGACCAGGGCCCAGACACTGTGTACAGTGCTGGGACTAAAACATCTGGTAAGTCACCTACTGTGACCGTGGTGAGGGTGGGAGCTGATTGTTTTCAGACAGCTGCAGGGCCAGGCTGCTAGAATCCTGGAGTTGGCAACTTGAAGTCTGTGGGTCCACCTTGCCCCCAGACCATATATTTGGACCCACGGTTTAACAAGATTATTAGTCACTTGGCCAACATTTCAATTCAAAATATTGTGTATATGTAAAAAACCTAGATCCTTATTTCCCTAGAAAAATAGAAAGTCTGAACCCTACTGTGGACCACTACCAGTGGGGGCCAAGTAGTCGCTGTCCACTTAAGACAGGGCATAAGCCTGCTGGTTTGCCACCACCCCCTGGGTGCTGAGGCTGACCACATTTCCACTCCCTTGCCCACTTTCCCACTCACCGGGGTATTTATACCTCCAGAGGATGGAAGGGGCAGGCTTTGGATTGTTTTCTATCTGTGTACCCTGGAGTCGGTAATACAACCCTTCTGAGCTTTGGTCTTAGTATCTGTAAACCTCCCAGGTCTGCTGGGGATGAATATGTGCCATGTGTCACAGGCAAGCCACTGGCAGGGTCTGTCTGCCTCACCATCTCAGAGCACATGTAGCTGGTGCCATTCAAATTCAAAGACGTGGCTAAGTTCAGCCCCTGGCCACCAGCAGCCTGGGTGTCAAGCTCAGGCTTCCCAACTCAGCAGCTGTGCCACCTGGGTGAGCAGCTTGCCCTCTCGGGGCTGGTGCCTGCTGTCTGCTCTGTAAGGTGGAGTGATAAGGTAATTAAGGAGCGTCAGCTGAGCTGCAGTCTGTAGAGGTTTAAGCCATACTGGCCTAGACCATGAGGCTAACAAATAGTACTGACCATTGGTGGAGTGGAGTGGACAGAGAAGGAGAGTAGGGGCAGAGACCTTAGCGTGCTTCACACTGCTGGGACCTACACTCCAATCACGGCCACTTACAGAGCACCTGCTATGTTTGGCACCCTTGCAAGTGCCAGGGTTGGAGCACTGAGGGAGACAACCAGGCCCGGTGCTCCTGGCACTTATGTGGAGTGGGTTAGAGGACAGAGCGAGGGAACAGCAAGTGCTGCAAAGGAAAGAAATGGCAGGAGTGGACAGGGGCAGGGGAGCATCCCTTGAGCAGGAGGAAGTGGCAGAGGTTCCCAGTGATCCGGAACAGGGACTTAAATGCATGATGGAGGCAGCTGGGGCCAGACCTGCCGGGGGCAGGGGGAAGTGAATGTACAGCCAGGACCTAGGGACACAGGCCCCAGACACAGGTGAAAGGAAGTGAGGGTGGCTGGTGCATGGTTGTGAAGGTCATAGGGAGGAATGGTCAAGAGGGAGTTTAGACTTCAGCTCCTACTCCATCCCCCAAAGCCCCAAACCCACCCCCACCCCCACCTGTTGCTGCTGTCAGAAAGGCCTGTCTCATGGGTGAGTACTGCAGAGGCTGCACAGAAGCCTTGAAGCAGGGCTCCCTAAAGCTGAGCACCTCTTTTCTCCTTACCAGCAGCCCACAGCCACCGCTCTCCACACCCCCAAGCCTGTCCCCCAGCTCCCACTGACTCACTGCAGCATCCCTGCCACCCATCGCACCTTCTCCATGTCAGCACTGCATTCCCTCAGAATTTGTGCATATTCTCTGAGGGACTTGAGTTGAATGTCTCAGCTGGTCTTTGTCACCAGGCTTGTGGCTACCCACTGCTGCCTCGGTGATCTGGGTCTGACACTGGGGCCTCTCTGTCCGCTGCAAAATCCGCCTTCTCTGAGGCTGCACTGTAATAGAGATGGTGACCCTCACAGCTTTCTCATCCCAGAGGCTAGAGCTGGGACAGAAAATGGACCCAGTGTGCCAGCTACACTATCATTACTGTCACGAGGAAGAGGGGCAGAGTGGGTGTCCTTTGGCCTCAAGAAGGGGAGTTAAGTTGCAAGCTCCACTGTGGTGGAAAATGGAGAAAGGTTTTCTCTTCTCACTTTGGTTGTTTTAGTACTGAGGATAAACCCAGGGCCTCGCAGATGCAAGGCAAGTGCTCTAACCCTGAGCTCCAGCTCCAGCTCAAGACGACGGTTGGCTCTGACGACAGAGCAGCACAGTCTCCATCCTCACACTCTTGGAGGCAGCAGGGCCGGGCAGCATGGTCTCCTCGTGGCCTGTTCCAAAGCCAGCACATTAGGAAAGGGATGCTATCCTGTCCCCGGTCCTGGAGGACACTGCCCATGGCAGGGCTCTCCAGGAGGCAGTGATGGGACCACATTATAATTCATTTATTCATATTGATCAGCTCAGCAGGGCCACAGCAGTTCCATGGTAGTCAACCTTGTTGACAGCCACACCGTTTCCCGACTCTCCTACTCACCGGCCTTTCTCAGTTCTCAGGTCTCCCCCAAATCTCTGGAGTCCCATGTCCCATGTCCACTGACCTTGTCTCTTCCTATGGAGCTGACCTTCCCTTCTTCTGATCTTACCCAGCAAACAGTTTTGGGGAAGGGCTTCCCAAATGAAAGCACTGTCTTAGGCACACAAGCCTGAAGCTCCCTCAGCCAGGGGCCAGCTGACATGCCCCGCTGTGAGGCCCTCCCAAGTAACCTCACCTGGGCTCATGGCGACAGCTGTGGCTTCTGAGCTGCTGCTTTCATAGCAGAATGGGCATCTGTGATATATGGGCTCTTGTTCTTACTGTCCTTTCCCCCCACTACTTCTGGGCCTTAGATCTTTCTGCTGCTATCCGGTGGATTAAGATTTATGGCTTCCTCAGCCTTGTAATACTTGGGTGGACAGCGGCCTAATCAACAGAGCCGTCGTTTACCAAAATGCTGTCAGATTTGATGAACGTCATCAGCTCTTAGCATTAAATTGGTAGCGAAGGGATTGGCCTTGCAGCAATTTACTGTGGGGTGGGCCTTCCTGAAAGATCTCCTGCAGGTTCCTGCAGCAATGGGAGCCAGGCTTAGGACTCTGTTGGCTGCCATAACCGGTTTCTTTTTGTGGTACAGGCAGCTGGCACCTCTAGAAAAGCTTCCTAGAGAAAATGTGACCCTGGAGATCTCTGCTTTTGGCACCCCCTTTCTGGGTGCCAATCCCCCCGCAGTGAGGACAGTAAATGAAACACCTAGAAAACATCAGCCTTCCCAGTGACCTTGCACAGCACAGTCTGTCAGCTCGTCAAGTGCTGTTATTTGTAAGACATCAGGCAAATATGGGAGGAACAGATTGATCAAGGAAGGTTGACTTGCCCCCACCAACCTATCTGTGTGGTTATCTGTCGAGCTCTTCTGCCTCTAGAGGGAGCCATTGACATACCACACAACCTGCACTACCAGACAGGGCGCCCCTGCGCCTGCCTGCTCTTTTTTAGTTGACAATGAGCTTTAATGCACACCTCTTAGAACACTTTACCAAGGAGTGTGGCAAGTACACACAAATAACTCTGGGTATGTGCTAGGCTGAGTGTGGGCTCAGATAGCAACGATCTGGCTTTGGGCTGGCAAATGAGAACACGGGATTCCATTGTCAGGCCTTTTAAATCCTCCTCCAGTGTGTATACTGCAGAGGTCTAGCCAGGTCTGGGCATACAAGCAGGCAAGAAAGAGCAGCCACTCACTCGGGGACGCCCACTCCTGATACAGCCATATGCCAAGCCAGGAACCAGCCCTGAGCACAGTCATCATCCCGTGCACAGGTTGGGAGGTGGGAGGCGGGCACTCAGCCGCCAGCGCTGGGGGCTGCCAACCTCAGGGGCGGGGCTGCTGTCAGCCTGGGGTAGAGAGCAGGGGAAGCTCCTGGGGCTGGGGGTGGGAGAGCAGGCCAGATGGAAGGCCTATTTATTCCCCTCGTAGGCACCCACTCAGCTTGAGAAACTCTTTCTGGACCACACTGACTTTGTCACATGTTGCTGCATAAACACAGTTTTCCATTGTGGTGCAATGAGAGCCTGGAGGGCAGGGCATTGGCTTTCCAATCAGCACTTGGGGAGGATTTGCCAAGTAACTTAAGGCTGCCTGCAGACTGGTATTTGCACCCTGGTGATCTTGGTGAAGCTGCATTTGTGCTGAGCTGCTAGGAGGGGAAGTTGAGATAACTACAGAAGGAAGACTGGGCTCTCCTGCTTCTATGCTAAGGTGCTTGCTTAGGCTTGTGGATTTACATCAGAGGCCAGCAGAGCTGTCTCTTCCTGATCAGCTCTTTCATTCAGGAATGGCTTCATCTAGGAGTTCAAGCCCTATGACAGAACTCAGTCTCCACCTCCCAACTCTGCCCCACCCCACTCCCCTAGGGTACCAAGATGGCCAACAGCACTTCCACTCACACTCTATTGCCTACTGTTGCATCTCCCTGGCTTCCTACCTATGTGACATTGGGCAGGGGCCTACACCCTTGTGCCTTAGGTGACTCCCTCCCCTGCCAAATTCCAGGAGAGTTTAGTGGGCAAACACATCTGACATGCTTGGGATGGCACATTAAGTCCACTCACCTTAAGTGACATGGCATTCCTATGAAAGGAGTGACAGGGTGAAGGCAGTGTGGACTTGGATCAGAAGAGGCTCTGTCCTGGGCAGTGCAGAGCTCTGGAGGGCAATCAGTTGTCTTCCTTGTTAAAATAATAGTTGCATTTCCTAGTCCCCTGGGGAAGTTAACTCTTCCTATTCAATTGCTTTTTGTTTTTTGGTGGTACCGGGGATTGAACTCAAGGGCCTTGTGCATGTTAGGCAAGCACTGTATCACTGAGCTATATCCCCAGTCTGGAAGTTGACTCTTACACGAGGAAGAGGTCCTTGTACCAAGACATCAGGAAAACACATGGCCCCAGTTACCTCTAATTTCTTCCAGTGGGTCATAAAGTCAGTACACACAGCGTTGTGTCCTCTTCTGTCTATCAGCAGCAGGTCCAGGGGGAGGTAAACAGGGCACCTAATGGAAATATTTAAAAAGCCTTCTCTCAGGTTCGTGCCACAGCCCCAAGGGCTCACCCTGTATCACTGGGACAAGGGTTTCAAGTGTGGTGGAGGATGGATGACCTGCCCAGAGTCACATGGGGAACAAGCAAGACCATTGCAGAGGTTGAACCAATTTGCCTGAGATTATAGCCAGGCCTTCCCACAGAGGAGGCTGTGACAGATACAGAAATGCCAAGTACCAAAGAAGGGTATCAGCCCGGTCGGTCGGTCTGAGACAGCAGGATGTCACAGGAGGGGGGCTACTATGGCTTGACAATGGCAGTGGCTGCTGTCCTCTCTTAGGAAGAAGCATTTGGAGGTGGCTTCCCGTGGACAGGTAGGCGATGTCACCAGGAACCTGGCTTCTCCCATTTGCCACTGGACTGTTGACCTTTCTCCCACATATCCCATCCACAGTCCAGCCAGCAAAATGTACGGAGGCCAAGGGCAAAAGCCCTGCATCCACTGAGTCTGCTGTGACTACCAGGAAAGCTGGACTTCCTCCGAATGCCTACCTTATGACCTTCACTCCATCACACCTGGAGCACTTGGCCATGCCAAGCTGCAAGGGACACCAGTGCTGTGATAGGCAAGGAACATTGTTGCCTCAGCATCAGGCAGCGGACAGATCTCGGTGGGCAGAGAACAATGTCTCCAAAGCTAAGTAGCCTTTGGATTCATGGAGAAGATTGGGCCAAGTGGCACTGAGATTAGAAGAACAGTGTGAGCAAAGGCAGTGATTGGAGAGTTTAAGACACAAGTAGGGGTCAAGACTTGGTCACAAATAACGTAAATCCCAGTCACATTGGCATAAGCAAAAAAGAGAAAGTTTCAGTGGTCTCGCTTCAGCTGCAGCTGAATCCAGGGGTTCTAAGGAGAGGCTGAGGACTCTGCCTCTGCCTGTCAGCCACCTTTCTGTGTGAGCAGCAGGATGGTCCCAGTGGCCCCTTACTTTAGTTGAGCCTCCTTCTACGTAGGCTTATCTTTCCCATGACTCTAACTGGAATCCTCCCTGACTATTCATTGGCTGCTTTCGATCTGTTCCTGTCCTGAATCAGATGTCGGTGTCTGCTGTAAAGGGATGGAGGGAGCTGAGTGGTCAGGCCTGGCTCACTTTCCCACCCTCACACCACGTACACGGATTGAGAATGGGAAGGGAAGTGGGTCCCAGAGAAAAATCAAGCAGTGTGTGTTGTGAAGAGCTGAGCATGGATGTGAGAGAGCTGTGGGTTCTCAGGGCCCTGCTGTAGTTCTGCTTGTCAGTGAGTGATAGTGTGTACGACAGTGGTTCTGACTCACTATAGAGAACTCTACAGGCCGGGTACATCGGTTAAGGCTCAGATCTGACTGCTCTCATAGAACCAAATAACAGTAACTTAAACAGCATGAGACTAGTGTGTGTGACCTGCACTGCCAAGAGGGGAGCATTGGTCTGCCCCAAGGGGTCAGGAGCTGGACACTGTGTTGTGGACATGCTTGTGCACAAGCCTGGGCAGCTCAAACCACCAGCGGCAGGGGTAGGAGCTGGGCAAGGGAAGCCTGGGCAAGGGAAACCTACCACCCTCATCTCAGGGCCTAAGTGTTCATATGGTCGTCCCCAGCTGTGGGGGTGGGTGGGGGTAGGACATGCCATGTGCATGCCTCAGATACTCAGAATAAAAGAAGGGGAACGTGGACTGGGGATGGCCTGCCATCTGTGCTCCCCAAAGAGTGATCCAAGAAAGCTAGGAAGAAAACAGCCATCAGAGAGCCTTTAGCAGTCCGATAAACTTGGGAAGTGCTCCACAGTTTATTTCATCTTAAGACATCCATGTATATGAGGGTACTACTGTTTCCCAAACCAGGGACCAAATTACAGCTCAGAGTCCCTTTTCAGGAGAGACTTTAACACCTGCTAAAATTTTGCTAGTAAGGAATTTCAATCTGAAAAGTTGTTTTTAAAAAATTTTACTGGGCTCACTTTGAAAGTTTAAGTAGGAACCATTAAAAACCTTTGAGCAACTAAGTACAGTGACACATGCCTGCAGTCTCAGTGACTCCAGAGACTGAGGCAAGAGGATCACAAGTTCAAGGCCAGTCTGAGAAGCAGCAAGATTCTATCTGTAAATTTAAAGAAAGCATGGAAACATGGGTGTGTAGCTCAGTAAAACACTGTTTCCCGAGCATGTGGGTGGTCTGAGTTCAGTTCTCAGAACTATACAGAAAAACAGGACCTCTGAGCAGAGGGGGAATGACTCTCCCTGAGCTGGCCCAAGATAGACACATGCTGGACCATTTCTCACCAGAAATGAGCACTGTCACACACAGGCAAACCACCAAGACTCAGATTCCTATAGTCAGCCCCTCCAGTGCTAGCTGGCCCTTGCCCCTGAGCAGAGGAGAGATGTTCATTCCATCGTAGCTAAGATGGTCTGCATTTTTATGTATAGAAATCGGTGCAGATCAGAACAGAAGCCGGCTCTCGACTACAGATTGAACCTCCTGTGGACTATTCGGAAGATTGTGAACCCTGCATGGATGTGCTTGTCAAGGCCAAGGATGCTTCAGAGGATCATCCACAGGTAGGGATTGGCCTGGACCTTGTTCTTAAGGCTCTTGCAGGACATCAGGGTTTGGGGTGCCCTAGCCTTAAGGCACTTTCTAGAAGTGGCATAGTCCATCCTTATTCTCTTGGCTTCTCCCTCACACATACTGTGATGCACACACAGACCAGATACCTGACACTGGTACCCAGAAGGCAATGTACAGAGGCGTCTTGTGGCAGAGGTCAGCAGGACTTGTGTCTGGGCTGAGTCAACAACATCCATGAGAAAGCTGGAGGAGAGGGCAGCAGTGAGATGAGGCAGCTGGTGTGCTGACCCTCACCTGTGTGCACTGTGCGCCTGACGTGCACACCTTTGAACCATTGCCCCAACTAGGGCAGCAGAGACCACACGGCGGACACCCTGAGTCCAGGCCACAGCAGCAGCTCTTGCGGCTGATGGTGGGGGCATTTGGTCCTTTCCTGCAGGTGGTGTTTCATTTCTGAAACCCTTTGAACAGCCTCTCTTCACTCCACCAGCACTGATCAGACACCCAGTACTGAGCCTCAGACTCTGTTCTCAGCACCCCAGATATAGACAGAAACAAGAGTGTTGAGATGGGCATTTTTAAGAAAGCTACATTCCAGAGGGGAGAGAGGTAATAGGGGTAAAGAAGGGAAATCATTTGTCTTGGTATTGAGTTCTGTGAAGAAATCAGAAGAGGGAGATGAGACAGTAAGATGTGTGGAGTAGAAGGGAAGGAAGGCCTCTCTCAGCAGTGACAGTTCCCTGGAAACCTGGTGGCTGAGGAGGAGCAGTGTTTGCTCAGCCGTGGGCCCTGGCAGCAGCTTGCAAGGGCAGAGTCTTGCTTCTGCTTGCTGCTTCAGTACCTAAAAGTGCTTCTGTAAAATGAAAATGACTCACATGGAGATGGAAATGTTGTCCAGGAAACGTTCCTCTGATGGCTGTTTGTGTGCCTGTGTTTTCTTTTTTGCTTATAAAGGAGGGACAGGTAAGGAGTGAGTGATCATTTTGTTTCACATCCTGGTTGTGTTAGCTGGGAATGTTTGTCTTCCTGAATTAAAAAAAAAAAGAAAGAAAGAAAGAAAGAAAGAAACGTTCCTTTTCTAATCAGTGATCCAGTCACTGACCTTGTTTCCTCATCCAGTCTATAAAAGTGGGATGAAACAATGGGCAAATTGTGGGCTTATTGCCTTTAAAGCATATCTCCACACACACACACACACACACCCCCACCATACAGTTGACCTTTGAGTCCATGAAATAGTCCCCCACTCAATCTGTGCAAAACGATTCTTCAGTTTCTCTTAGTTTGCTCGGAGGCTGGATTTTAGCCAAATTCAGTGTTACCCCCGCCCCTCAGAATGCATGTGTGCCCTTCAAGCCAGAGGCCATGATGATTTACCTTTGGTCCAGTGTCCAGAATTCCTTGTTAAATGAACACGATCTTCCCCCTCGAGCATCCCAGCTCCCTGCACCCAGGGTGGCAGAGTCCCTCACCAGTTTCTAAGGCCATTAGCATTCCTGGGTGTGCAGGCTCTGGACTGGCACGGCTGCTGCTCTGCCAGCACTTAATTTCCTCCACTGTGAGCGCCTGATTGTATTTCTTTCTTTCCTTTTTCTCCCCATCTTGAGGGGCCACTCCTTAAGGCTTCACAGTCAATTTCCCCTCGGAGTTATTTTCCTTTTGAAAGCAGGGAGTGAAATGGCAGTGCCGGTTTCCTGCAAAGGCAAAAGTATTAAGAGATGTGATCAGACAGGGAAGAGGGAGGAAAGGCACCTGGCTAAATATACTCAGCCCCAAGCACTGTTTGCAAGTGCAGCCTGAAATGGAGCAGCAGGAAACGTGTGTCCAAGGACACTCTCAGCTGACCTTCACTGTAGAGACACACCAGCCTTTGCGCTTCTGAGCTCATCACTGTGAACTTGAGCTTCTCGGCAGCGCTGGGCTCACATGGCCACATGCTACAGTCATGTTCTGTTGGCCTCCATCCCATTACCTTGCACAGTGCCTTGGAAGGTTGTAAATTACTAGCTGACACTTGAGAATCAGGACGTTCTGTGGGAAAACCTGAATGGCAGCTTCTCTTGAAAAGCAGAGACCACATTCTTGCATAGCAACAATGACTGGGGCTTTGGAGCAGCTGTCCCCTTAAACAGGTATGAGTATTCCAAATGGCCATGGTCCTCACCACAGTCCAGTGCTGAAGATCCACTGATGATAAACCAGCATATTAGGTGTCAGGAGGTGAGAGGCTGATGGAGAAATTGAGCAGAATAAGGGATAGAGAAAGATGGGCAGGAGCTGCTGTATTATATTTAGGGCAAGTGGACGGGGTCTGACTTTTGCTGAGGTGGTGTTTGAGGAGCTATCTCTAGGGAGTGAGGGAATGAGCCATGTGGATCAGAGCACCAGAGGCCCAGCCTCAGCAGGTGCATAGGTCCTGAGGAGGGAGAGCAGGGGCAGAAGGAAGATCAGAGAACAGCCATGAGGCAGATTGGGTAGGGTTTGACAATTGTAAGAATGCGATTTTCCTTGCATCAGTCAGGAAGTCGTACAGTTGCAGCAACTTTACAACTCTGGTGGAAAGGGTCCTTGTATTAGTGAGCTTTCCCATTGCCAAGGCATTGTGACCGACACCTGCAAGTTAAAGGAGGAGAGGTTTATTTTGATTCTCTGTTTCAGAAGTTTCAGTCCATGGTTGGTGAGCTCCAAGGTAGAAATGGCATGGTAAAGGAATCTGACCTGCCATAGCAGCCAGGAGGCAGAGATAGAAGGGAGGAACCATGGGCGAGAACACATCCTTCCTCTCCACACCCCCAGTGACCCACCTCTTCTGATGGGGTTTCACCTCCTAACAGCACAGTCAGCCATGAATCAATCCACTGATGAGTGTGACACCCCCATGATCCAGTCACCTTCCAAAAGCCTGATGTCTAAACAGGAGACTTTTGGAGGATATTTTAGAAATAAGCCATAATAACGCCTCTTTCCAGAGAGTTCCACCAGAGCGCTGAGTTTAATCACGTTTCTTTCCTTGGTACAAAGGCTTTGTGCTACAGTGGGTGGTACAATTTCTGTTTATAGGATAGTGGCTCCATTTAAGAAGCAAGAATGAACGAAAAGATACATTTTTTATTATCTTATTTTCCAGATAACATATAAAAATTCTAATGATACAAAGAAAATAAGAGTCTTTTCATAATCTTGCTGTCTCACAGTGATAGGAAGGTGTATAACCACCCAGATTAAAAATAGCATCTATCACTATCCAGAAGGAGAGAGTTGACCTGGACTATCTCAATTCTATCTCTTTCCCAGTCAGAGTTGGTTCCATGTTTAGTTATCATGTGGGTCCTTGAGAGCAAGAGAAATGACAGGAAGACTCGACCACCCTGGCATCTCCTGGAAGCCCTCCTGAGTTTCTCTTCGCGTTGCGTGGATCCTAAAGCGAGTGGGGTGAATTGGGTGCCTCCCACAGTCACCATCTCCCTTCTTAAACTCATGGTAATTACTGACACAGAGGAACATCTAAAGGCCATTGCTGGCCAAGAGTCACCAGAGGAGCCCCTTTTCCCCCTATCCCAACAGGGCCCTGTAGCAGATCTGCTCAGGCCTTCACTGAGTTCAACAGTAAGACTTAAACAATTACTTTCAGGATAATTCTATCACTTGAATACTTCTATTTGGGACTACTATATATAAATACCTCCGAGCAAGTGCCTTTTTTTGTTTCTTTTTGGTTTTAACACAAATGGATTGTATCATCCATTCTATTTGATAATCTCCTGTTTTTTACTCAAATCTACTGTGGCCATCTTTCCATGCTGGTTCTTAATCAACCCTCATACAGGCTAGTGGCTCAGAAAAGTGTTGGGAGTTTGTGGCTGAGTGTGAATCCTGCTCGCTTTACTTGCTGTGTGACCATGGCAGTGTTGATGGAGCAGAGATGGGTGCAATCAGATCAGCTGGGGAGCGAGAGCAGAAGGCAAACTGAATGAGAAGACACAGAAGACGGGAACAACAGTGGAGCAAGGCTTAGCATGTCTTTGGAGCAGTAAGCTGCCATGGCCAGCCCAGTTCTCTGTGCTGACCCCTGGGATTCCAAATCTCCCACCAGCAGGACACCCTAGGACTTAAATTTCTCCCTGTTCATTGCCTATGAGTGTCTAGACCCTCCAAACAATACACAGAAAGGCTCCTCCAAATGATTTAGGAAGTAGTGGTAAGTTTTCAGCCTCCAGCCAAGAAGGGGCAGGGTCTTTGGCAGAGCCCAGCAGTAGGGCCATGAAATGGACACTGTGAGCAAGTTTTTGAAAATAACACAGATTCACACAGGATATTCCCTTAACAAAAAAGCCTCTGGCCCATCCACCAGATTAAAGCAACACAAGAGAGGTTTGACTTGACATTTTTAAAGTGATAATAAGAGCTCATGTTAAATGAATACTGGCTAAATTCTGAGCACCAGTTTGAGTCTGTAATACCCACTGCAGCATTAACCCCATGAGTTAAGTGCTGGGTATTTTCATCCCAGTGCTATAGTTTGAGGAAACTGAGACACAAAGAAGTGATGGCGCTCAGCCAGGCCTTAGAGAAGCCCATGCAAGAAGCCCAGGTTCTGTATCTCTTTGTGCTTTGAATAACAGTCACAGGCTGGGTACCACGCTGGCCTGTTTTTGCTTCAGAATATGCCACCGTCTGTTGTGAATATTACTAATGCTATGCCAGGAGCCAAGTGTGCAGAGGTGGCCATCCATCAGCGATGCTTAATAGCATTTTAAACAACAAGAGAGCAAAACCCTGCATAGCCACCTATCTCCCACGGGAACCCATGGCTGAGCGCATCCATGAGAAATGTTTTTCCGAAATGAAATCAAATGAGGAAACAACCAGGCAACCCCAAATTGAGAGACAGCCTACAAAACACCTGGCCCAAAATCCTCAAAAAATGTCCATGGCTTAAGAGACAAAAAAAGCTGGGGGACTCTTCTGGATGAAAGGGTGGGTGCAAAAGAGACGGCACTGTTATGTATATGAGATCCCCAAAGGATGGAAGAGGAATTGCTAAATTCAGGAAATTTTGTTTGGGGAAATTAGCTGTTTGAAAATGGACTATATTATCACAGTAATTATTTGTGTTCACATTAGATTTCCCAATTTTAATACTAATATTCTGGTCACATTAGAGAGTATCCTCCTTTGCAGGAGATACCTGCCAAAGTGTAGAGAACTAGGAGTCCTGATATCTATACGCAAGTGGGTCAGCAGGTCAGCATAAAGAGTGTGTTCACACACACAGGGGGTGACACGGTGGAAGAGAATGAGAAATGGGGGAAAATGCTAGCCATTGGGGAATGTAGGTGGAGGATTTCCAGGTTTCTGTTACACTGTTATGTTTTCTGTGGGTTTTACATTCTTTCAAAATAAAAAGTTAAAAAAACTAGCTGTCCATTAAAGAAGAGATGAACTTCATCAGTACCAGCAAAGGAAGAAATGACAGTGAAAAAAGCAATCTGGTTTAAAAACAGGAGAATAGTAGCGAGGTCAGTTTCCCTGATGGTGATGCTATATTATTGTTCTGCAAGATTTTACCACTGGGGATGGGAGTATGGGACCTCTCTGTATTGTTCCTCATAAGTGGCATGTGAAAGCTATGATTAGCTCAAAATACAGAGTGAAAAAGAAATGAAAACACAAATGTCCTGGTCCTATAGCCCTGCGGTTCTGATTCTGATCCTAGGTTTAAGCTCAGCCATTGTTCCTTTTCTTAAACTCCCTACATGTCTATAATTTGCAGCACTGTTTAAGAACCATGATTATAAGGAAAGGAGAGAGCTGTGGTTCCAAAAATTCGATATGCACAAGAAGAATCGTTAGTCTGTTTGTGTACAATGCATATTTCAGGGCTTTTTTTTTTTTAATTTTATTTAAGGAGAGAAAAAAAAAGCAGAGAAAGGGTACAAGTTATACAGATTTACAGAAAAAAATAAACAGTAGGAAATCACTAGTTAATGGATTACATATTGCCATCTTAGAAATAATTGTTCAAGTCACAAAATTAAAGCTTGTAAAGTGGACATTCCAACAGTGAGACTGCAAACAGTTCTGTTCAATGATCCAATAAAACTCAGTGATATCATTTTCTATCTTATACACTTAAATATACCTGCAGTTATATTGTTTAGAGCACTTTCTTTTCCTCTCTTTTGTACAATGACAATTACACATTTTGGGTTTTGTTGCTCCCACAGTTCTTACTACTTTTTTGGAAGGGAGTAGAACCAAATGTGACCTAACAGAACAGAGTCAATCAAATCAAAAGGGTGGACATAATAGATAATGTAAAAGCATAATACAAGGTGATCAATAATGGTTACCATAATGCCTCCCGCTATCTCTAATAGAATTGCCTATATCATCAGTTATAATAAAATTGAACAAAACAGTAAAGAACAAAATTGACAAAACCAAAACATTGGAGACATTGTAGGTCTTCAAAAGTAGATAAAAGTCAACGAGAATGGGCATCATAATGAATCTCACTATCTTCACAGCTGTTGCCTAAACTTTCGAACCTGGCACTATCAAGCAAAACAGAATAGGGGGACATCAGTCAAAAACAAGATGGTGAGAGTAATACAGGGCTTTAAATCAAGATAATGGAAAGTCAAAGTGGGTTACTATAATATATCCTGCTATTTTTTATTTATTTTTCCCTTAATTAAAATGATAAAAATAAAAAAGTAAATAATGAAGTGGAGATTGAGATAAAAGAGGGCATAACAGCAAAACAGCGAAGATCAAAACATAACCATTTAAACAGAATAGTGTTT